TTTCATGTCATTAGCACCTCTAGTAATATATTTACTGAGAAAAATGGTGACGTGTTCAATACTTATTTTACCCGCTGTATATAACAACTATAGTTTTTCTGCAAAGTTAGGCTTTTGTGCTTCTTTCAACTATGTAAATTAGAACTTAACACTTTTGCTATTAAATATTTTCAGCTGAATTTCAGCAGTGTTCAGCTTCAGTTTTCAACAAGAAGCATTCACAGCATTTTTGCAGGAAATGCAATTTCTTTAGTTAGCTTTGAGAGAGGCTTGAGAGGAGAGAGCAGTTTGGTGGGACGCAGTAAAGATCCTGAGAAGATGTCGTCACCTCGTCCCGCTGACACATCACTGAAGTCTCCTCAGTTTAACATCTGAGCCGTGAATCGTTTCATCAGGAGAAATTAAATCAAGGATGAGACAAACAGAGAGAAGAGGAGGAGCGAGGCATGATAATCCTCGCTTTTACACAGCAGAGACTAAAGTTTCAGCTCTCATCTCTCCAAACCAACATTACCAGTCGAGCGTGAATACTGTTTCTCCTCCTCCACACACAACAGTGTCACAGTTCACTGCTCGTGAACTGAATGAAGTCTTTGTAGAGAGGAAGAATGTAAAAACAAATCTGATTACAGACTCTTAATGCTGAACTTTGGGGGAACTGAGGACAGCAGCAGAGGACGCCATGTTTGAGGTCAGAACAGGCCGAAACTGAACTCTTTCACAGCCGAGTGAAACTTTTCCCTGATCGATGCTCCGAGGCAGAAAGTCAGCGTGAAATCAACCGAATCAGCTTCACTTTTCACGTTGACTTTTGAAAAAGTTTTCGTTCAGCGGCGGGCATTGTTCTGCAGATAGCGGAACTAGCTTCTCTTTTAGCGATTTAGCTTTTATGCTAACTTTGGTTTGCAGACTGATTAGCTTCTGCTAAAATTCACAAGTGTAAAACTTCTATTTTTATGCCTTTTATCCTGAATTAGATTAAAAAATATTCCCTCTGGACGTGTCGGGCACTGGATGCGTAGCATCATGTAGCATCTTTAGCAGCTAAATGTCAAACTAAATAATAATATTTAACAAAATTTAAATAAGGAGTACAAAAGCTTACGGAGTCTGCAAGGGGACATGAGGGATTTTTTTCTTTTGCGTTCCCACATATTGCATTAACTCACAAAAGTCGTTTATCACTGGTTATCACCCAGTGGCGGATCTAGGATTTTTCCGAGTAAGGGGCCATTAAGCGGGCTCAATATTTACAGAGGGGCCAACATCCTACCATGTTCCTAGTTTTGGTAAGGTGTATACATTTAATCAGTCACATGTTCAAACACTCGTAATGTAATGAAAAAAACTTGTACAGTAAATCCTCTGCCAATTTTACATGCATGTTTTATTCTACTTAGATAAAATACTCTCAAACACACAGCATGTGAGATAATTCAGCTGTTTGTCATTTGAAAGACTTTTTTCTGCGGGATTGTTTAAATACATTCTGTTAGCTTCATTCACGCTGGACTTTTCTCTTTGACTCATTAGCGCCACTTGTGTTTGGACATGGAACTGCGTCCACCATCAACGCTTTCAAAGGCAAAGGACAGATGAGTGACAGAACAGGAGCACTTCAGGGGGCCAATCAGATTTCAGCTGGGGCCAATGTTCCTGTGGCCCCGCCCCTAGAACCGCCCCTGCCATGCATGGAAATGCGATATTTTAACACAGTGCAGCTACGCAACGTCATTGTCAATTTCACAAACTTGTGGCGACATGTCCTGTTTTGGTGACCGGATATTTCAAAATAAAAGTCTGATTTAATTCAGTTATACAAAACAATTTTTTGCGAGGAAATGCAAAACAATATTGTGAGGGAATGCAAAGTATTGCCAGAGTTGTAATGTAACTAAGTACAAATACTTTGTTACTGTATTTAAGTAGAATTTTTGGGTATCTGTACTTTACTTGAATAATTATTTTTCAGCGTACTTTTTACTTTTACTTATTACATTTTTACACAGTTATCTGTACTTTCTACTCACTACATTTTAAAAGGTAAGAAGTAGAAAGTTGTTTCTCCTATTTTATTCAGAGTTGTTACTTAAAAAATACTATCCTGATAAACTGTGTCTCCTATAGAGTGAATTTAATTGTGTTTGGATGAGAAGTATAAATATATACCATTCTGACACACTATTAGCTTGTACACAACCCATCACAGCTGCACGCTGTTAGAAAATATATGTTTTGGAGAAGTCACCTCCCAATAAATGTCATTTTACAAAATCGAACTGCTCACTTTTACTCAGTACTTTTACTTGTAATACTGA